AGCCTCGTCAGTACCTGAATGGGTGACTACTTGGGAATATCAGGTGGTGTAAGCTTGGATGGGCAGGTGGTGTAATGGATAATGGCTTGGAATTGTTAATTGGAGAGCTGAGTTTTAATTCTCATTGTGTTCATTATATTCACTTGTGTGCAAATGAATCCACTTTTCTCCTCCAGCTATGGATTAATTAGTAAAACGTGTATCACTAAATAATTGTTCCCACCCCCACAAAAAATTCTAACAATCTAAAGATATTTTCTGGATTTAAATAACCTGCAATGGGTTAATAAGCTGTAGAAAATGAAGAAATTAATCAAAAAAAACATTATCATCCTTTTTATTTATTTTCCATGAATATCATCCTTGCTAACATCAGATTTTTTTTTTTTCTCTCAAGACATTTTGGAAAACTACACTATATAACAGTTATAATTGTTAGAAGTTTGCTATATACATATATATATATATGCTGATTTGTTTTAAAAATCAATGTTAATGTTAGCTTTTAATTTATATATTTACAATTTAATTATTTGATTATTTTTTACATTTCTAGGGCATTTAACTTAAGTTTAAACAAAATGATATCTTATAAACTATTTAAAAAAAAACTTACAATATAAAGATATATATCTGAAGAACTTAAATAAGATTCTGGTAGGTTTTTATTATCTTTGAGAGCACTATTCTCAACTTTTGTAAAACACTAAATACAAGCTAGTTATTCTGTTACAATTGTTCACTTATTTGCAAGACAAAAGTAGTTTTATTAAAATCACAATAAAGAATAAATCCAGTTATAAAATATTCTTGAAAAACACTTAAATAATAAATTTATGTTGTTTATTTTAAATATTGAATATAAAAATAAAAAAACCCCTTAAATATTGATTTTTGGATGTCTACTTTATATGCTAAAACATAGACTAGTGTGTTGATAATACATATAAAGGATAACTTTGTAGATAGTGTAAGTAAACATCAAACTATTAACAGTATCATGTGTATCTCCTCTTTGTTAAATATTCAATGTTCAGAATAATTTTTATTAGTTACCTTCCTTTTTATCTGGTTATAGTTACATAGTTTAGCATTTTTAAAGAATTCAGTAAATATTTGTTTATAATGATAGTATTTTACAAAACCTGATCATTTACTAAAAAGAGGATTATTGTTTTAATTTTTATTCAAAAAATGTGTATGGTTTTAGTAATATGTACAAAGTTGTATGTCTTTGTAGCTGAAGCAGATTAAAAAAAATTCTCATAGCTTGATTGTTTTTATTATTTAATGTACAACCATGCTATAGACATACAATGGTAAAATGTCAACTAGATTTGAATTTGTATCCAATAACATGCAATCTAAATTTATGATTGTTTATTGTGTATTTCAAGTACTGTTAATGGAATTTGTCAAATCTGTGGCAATGCATAATACTAAAATCTCTTGAATTCTGTAGTCACCAAGGTTGTAGATGCTGAAATGGATTTTTTTTTAATTAAACTAAATGTTAGTTTAAATGTCTACTGACATTTTTAAACGGTATATTCGAATTTCACAATTATATAAAGAAATGTTGAATGTCCATTAAAGGATTTTTCGTGAAGTTTGATAGTATTGTTAGTTTTCTACAGATATTGTAATCAAATTTAAATAAAAAGAATTTTGAAAGTTTTTAAGGCCAATTGTCAAGTTAATCCTATGTGCCCATTTCCACTTGAAAAAACATGGATATATGGATGGGAGGGATCTCAAAAGTTCTTGTCTCTACTCACTTCCTAAAATTTATTGAAACAATTTTTTTAATACCTTCTTGGTCAGACTGAAAAGTATTTAGCATTTTCTTGTGTAATTTTTTACATCTATACACACACACACACACGCGCATTTGCATTTTCTTTTTTGAGTATTGGAAGTTGTTGGTAATAACATTGATTTTAAAAATTAGTTTTGATTTAAATTTAGGGAAATGTAAGTAAACCTTTCAAAAGCTAATATAGTAAATGCTTTTCTAAATGATATAAATGTCTGCAGTGTTATGAAGTGGTAGTCAGTATAAAATAATCCATAAGGCTTGATATGCTGCTAAACAAAAACAACCAGCAGACAAATTACTTTTACTAATTTTCACTCAGTACAAAGCCCAATAGCCACTCAAGTTAAAGGCTTACTGTGTGGTGTATTAGTGTAAAAAAAGGGCAAAATGTGAAGTTCTTGGAGTTATGTAGAAAAGATAACAGCTAAATCTAGACTTGAAGAGGTCAAGATTTAATTAGTAGTATTTTGGAGTTCAGTCGGAGATGTGTGGAAGTAGACTTTAGGAGGAACTGGAAACCCAATCCTAAACAGGAAACAAGGGATAAACCTTTACTCCTTTCCAAAAATCCAGGAAGGAGTATGAATCCAATGAGAGGCAAACCTAAAATTTCAGAGTCCAGGCAGACACATTACAAATATAGTTGAAATCAACTTTAGAAGGAACTGGAAAATCAATCCCAAGCAGGGAAAAGTAAATAAAATTAAAGAGTTTATCTCCAAATATATGCATTAGGGTAGAGTTATGGAACTGACACTCTGCTATTATCTATTAAGTTTTAACTTGGTATAAGTTCAAATATTCTCTATCAAAATAAAATTGGGCAGGAAATTAACATTATTTGAACTTTATCCTTTTTTCTCATGTCATGAGTTTCAAATATGCATTTAAATCCTAGAGATGGTAAAAATATTTTACCTTTGTTTTGGATTTGTAAATGTATGTGAAAAAAAAAATCAACATTAACTAATTCAGCTACATAATCATACATTCTCTGACATATCTAAAAAAAACATCAGCATATATATACATGCATATCTCAAACACCCTTGTGGTGCACTGGGAAGTGATATTTATTTCTGGTGTTGTAGGGAGGGATGGTACTTTGTCATAACATTATTCCCATATATATAAAAAAAAACACACACACACACGTGTGTGTGTGTGTGTGTGTGCGCACGCACACATGCCCATGCACATCTATACTTAATTGCTAGTTAGGAATTTAGTTAATTAGTTAATTTAGGAAATCAATAGTAACCAACTACATCATTTTAACAAGATGTTTATTTGATTTTAAGTTATAAGAATAAAAGCAAGACTTATGGAATCCAAAGAAATTCATCTGCGGAAAAAGAACATTGATTTTTGCAAATAATTGCAAAATTGCTAAAAACTTCTTTTCTTTCTTTTTCTTTCTTTTTTTTTTTTTTTTTTTTTTTTTTTTTTTTTGTGGAAAAGTATGAGTCTCTTAAGGTCATTGTCAAGTATCAACTTTTCATCATCTGTCAAAATTTATTTTAAAAACAGAACATTTCTCTTCTATTTTAAGCAGCAAATTACACAGGAATACAGTTCATAAAAGCCATATCTTAAAGTGACTAACATAATGGAGCCTGTGCTTGATTTTGGATATTTTGAGTATGTTAGCTTCTTTCTCCTGCATTAGATAATGTTCAGAAGTATTTTCAAGTAATCTTTGAATTTGATTGCTATCAATTTCAACTGGTTTACCTTAGCAGCGTGAAAGTAAATTTATTTCACTAATTTTATGTATTTCAGTGGCATTTTTACTTTTTTTTTAAAAAAAAAAACTCAGAAAATATTGCTTATTTTCTAACTTCAATGTTTGAATCAATAAACAAAAATGTACCAATTTTGACAAATCTTTATAACAACATACTGATTTATATGACAATTATTAAAACACAAAGCAAAACAATCTCTTATAATGTAGTTAGATAACATTAGGGCTTTCTAATTTTAAATAATGACAGAAATAGAATGTAGTTTTAAACTGTCTAATATATAAATTTATTTTTTATCATTTTTAAAGCTATTTTGTATTTGTAAAATCTCTTTATTTTTGTATACACCTCTCTCTCTCATGTGTGTATGCATTATTTTATTTTATATATATATATATATATATATATATATACATGCACACACACACACACACACACGCTATACTTTCTCTATTATATGTCGCTCTTGTTTTCAACTTCCTTGCAAAATCTCATTTTAATCAATGTAATGAGTATAGGGCTTAAGAATGAATGAATAGATACTGAAGGTAATGTATTTTCTATGATTAAAATTAAAATAACTTTTTATTTTAATGCAATGATGTCTCTCCACAGATTCCTTTTCTTTATTATTGATGCATTGTCATCAGTTCTTGGGAAGGATTGTGGAATGGTTTCTTGTTGCTTTTTCCATTGTTTTGTATTCGGAGTTGTTTTTCTAGATTGGCTTCCAAAAAATGCTAGAGAGTCCAGTTTACCCTGCTATTTAACCCATAGCTGGGGGTGGGAGAAGAGATGGATTCATACCTTTCCCAAGGGTATTTGTGCAATAATGAATACATTGAGCTCTGTTGGAATTTGAACTAGGAATGCTTATTCCACCTTTTTGTGCTTACAACCATTTCACTATGCATGTATTAGTATTTATATCACAGGTTTTAAAATTGCAAAAGTTTTTTTCTTCTCCAAGTCTGTACAAATATTCTTCATAGCTTGAATACTAAATAATAATAGTGATGATCCACGGTAACATACAATCATTTTTGAAAATTGTTTATAAGGTTTATTTTATGGTAGTAGATAGAATTTATAATAAATGTTGCATTTAAAAAATTTGTTTTTTTTTTTATATATACTTATCAGATAAAATTTATTACTAAGTATGCTTATGACAAGACCACATTTTCAGTTATTCACCTTTCATGAAAACTTGCTAGACAGACTATAATTGTAATAATTGTATTAGTTTAAATGTACTTATAAACACCAGTAATATGTAAGAAATATCAAAGCTTTCTTATAAATCCTTTACATTTGTAATAATGTAATTCATGTTTTTCCATCATAAAAACATTTTGGTTAAATTGACAAATTTAATTATTGAAATAGCTGACACTACTTTTTGTTTTTGTTGAATTTCCTTCTGGATACAGCAAACTCTCCCAAGTCAACCCAGATGGTTAGAAAAATGAGTGTCCATGCAGAGGATGATGAAGACGTCATTGACGTTGATGTCAGTGACGATGAAAAATATCATTCTGACAATGTCTTCCAAGGGCTGTGGATCCCATACCCGGATCAGGTGGCCGAGATGTTTGAAAAACTGGACAAGGGAGGGGTGCCAGTGCTCAAGTGGAGGTGCCCAGGGAGGCGACCCCCAGAGGTTGAGAAGGAAGAAGAAGACATGGAGACAGATCTCAATTTGCTGTTGAACCCAAACAAGAAGAACAGAAAGAGGAAAAGAAGTAAGTATATGTGTGTTTATTTATATAGATATTATAATATATATATATATATATATATATATATATATATATATATATATATATATATATATATATGAGGTGGTGTTGAAAAGTTCTTGTTTTACCAAATGCCCTTACTACATTTGCTCAGATTTTGAGAAAAAATTTTTTTTTTTTTCCTCTTTTTGTTGATTCAACTCGGATGCTTAATTCAGTTTTATTGCTGATTTGATATGGTATTTTATACATTTAAAAAAAGTAAATAACCTGATATATCCTATTAATTATATCACCAGACAATTCATTCTTGTTCCTGTTGTGTTCCTCTGCAACAAGGACAAAAGTGAGGAGAAAGTTTCTTTTTATTCTAACTAATAACTATGCACTAATAACTTCAATCCTTAAATAAGATTCTTTTACCTGGTTTAAATCAAATACACTGTCAGGTTTTATTATGCAAGTCATTGTTTTCAATTTATTTAGTATTAATCAACTGATGTTAGTAAAATTTTCAGGATAAACTTATATCATGTGAATTTCAGACAATCTTTCAATAAAAAAATTTTCGAAGATATGTTTTATAGATTGTGCAAAAGCATTTGATAAGGTACATCACAAAGAACTCTTTGAACTGCTAGGTAGGCTTGATTTATTTGGGAAGGATATTAGAATAATCCAGAACTTGTACTGGAAGAAGATCACCTGCATCTGGATAAAAAATTAATTCAGTAAATGCACAAAAATAGAAATGGCCTTATATAAGGGTATGCCTTATCACTGGACTTATTCAATCTTTACAGTGATGCAATTCTGAAAGTACTACCATAATTCATTATTGGAGGCCACAATATTAACTATATAAGACTTGCAGTCTTGATAGCAGACACAGAAAGTAAACTACAGGGACTCCTACAAAAGATAGTAAAGGAAAGTGAGAAGAAAGGACTAACCACCATAAAGCAATAAAAAAAAAAATGAAAAGTTTCATTGGTTATAATCTGTACAGAATAATTCTCTGCATTTATCTTGTTACTATCATCAACTTTGAAAGGGCCTCTGATTTTACTGCTTGCTCAAAACATTACTCCATCATCTCTCTGCTGTTTGTTATCTTCTAATTTATGCTGGTTGAGTCTTTCCATGAAGGGCTCAGCCAGTAGCCCAGATGTCATGTCTGTCCAACTCTATATTCATCACTAAATATAACTGCCGAAAAATCAGTTTTCAAGTACTTACTAAAAATTGAAGGTGATAGTTTTATTGATTTCATGCCTTTAGTCAGTGTTTTTAATATTCTGCATCTTTTCAGTTTACAGTCATGACACCAGCTTCTTTGAATATTTTCTTGGTGATTTTTCTTGCTTTTAATCTCATTTTGCAACATTCTTAAAACTAGGATTTCTCTTGATATCTTGACAATATTTTCAATTTCTTTTTTGAATGTCCACCTTTCTTTTTCTTTTTCAGTTTTCAACATATTGCTGAATAACTTGAAAATATTTCATTTCACTTTTGACCCATGGCAATTTATGAATAGAACATAACCAACAACTATACTATATATATTTATTCACAACTCTTTTGAGTTGCATAATAAAACCAGTTATAATGTATAAATGACAACTCTTTCACATTACAAAAAGACAGATGAAATATAACAATTTGATCTTTTATCATCATCAATCCCATGACTGGTTGTAGTTGTATGGACACTGAACAACTGATCAGTTTTTTCCAGATGTCTTGGTTGCATGCCAATGTCTGGGTCTCTGAAGAATCTTTCAGTCTACTCTGTGGCATTGTCAGCTTATTTTTTTCTATCTACCTCTTCTTTTACCTAAGGTATTACCTTGTAGGGTGTTTGTTCAAATATTGTTGGCTCTTATGAATGTGACCATACTGTTTCAGCTTCCCCTTTTTAATGCTAGGCCTGTTTCTTGTCCGATGTTGTCTCACACTGCATCATTTGTGATAAGGTCTATATAGGAGAAGCCTAGGATGGTTCTGCAGCATCTGGTTTCTAGTTCTTGGATTCTTTGCTGTAGTTCTGATGTTAATGTCCGAGATTCTCAGGTGTACAGAAAGATTGAAAAGGCCAATGCACACAACAATCCAATCTTTGGCCATTAGGCAGATGTTCTTGACTTTCCAGATAGCTCTTAGGTTGGCAATAGCTGCCATTGTTTGTGCTGCTCTTGAATTTATTTCTATTCCAAAGCCCATTTTGCTGATAATCAAGCCAAGATATTTGAATTGGCTTGCTACTTTAAGTTTCTGACCACCAACTTTTATCTTGGTTGGAAGCCCCTTCTCATTGTCTATCATGAGTCCCCCCCCCCTTTATTAATCCCCATGCTATATTTGGGGGCTGTTTCATTCAGGTTGTTTACCAGACTGACAAGATCTTTTGCCAGCTAGATCATCTATGTGAAAGTTTGTGATGTTGTATCCTCCAACAATGCTCACTCTGCTCTGCAGTTTCCTTAAGCGTGTCAAAGAGCACAGGTTACAGAAGACGACCTTGGAGATAGCAATTGATCTTTTATATCAACTAATAAAAAGAATTTACAGTTGATCTAAAGTATTGTGATTAAGACCAGCTTCATAAAAATTTATTTTTGTGAATGCAGCTTTCTGTGCTTCACAAGGAGTCTGTAGGAGTAAACAAAAGAAAATTGGGAAAAATGAATATTTAACTATTTTACAAGCATGTTGAATTTATTTTCCAGAGCACCACAGCCGACAGAATTTGATTTTGATGATACAAGCTTAGAGCTTTCAACCAAATTAACTCCTAGGAAGACACCAGGTTTCTATATTTTTTTTCATCTTTTCTACCACATACTTTATGCTTATAGAAGTCATTACTTCTGCAGATATATCACCATTTACACAATTACTATAAATGTATGTAAAGAAGATTTTTATATTTTAGGCTATTGACATTCTTTCAAGAGAAAAAAATGTATATAAATTTTCTTAGACTTTATTAAAATTTTAGATAGGTGTTTCAATTATATCATTCTATATTTACAATTGACCCCCAATGCAAGTAAAAAATATCATTTAATTACCCCTATCTAATTGTACCCCTAAAAAAAAAAAAACACACATGAAAACTGCTACATATAATGTCACACACCTTAGGAGTTATTGGATAGGTCACCAGACCTTACATCATTGGATTTTTTTTTCTGTTGGGTAATTTGAAATCAGTTGTTTATCAGGTGCACCCCAAAAATATTGAGAAATTTAAAGAATTAAAGATGAATGCAGTAGACAAAGGAGACTTTCTGACATATTAATGCAACATGCAGGTACAAAATTGAAATGTTTTGAAAAAGGAGGAGTTCATTTTAACACTACATATAATAAATAGTAAATAAAATTTTTCATATGCAATTATACCTTTAATAAATTATCCCTATGGTGTGCAACTTTTGCCTCACTCCCTGTGTGTGTATATATATATATATATATATGAAAAGGATTAAACACTAATATTCCATGCTTATAAAACCAAAGGGCATTTATAAAAGAGCCGCTGTGCAATCAATCAAGAACATTTGACAAAAGTAATATCAACTACAGGTTACAAATTTAATGAGTCTGTCTATATTTCTGAGATGAGGTATTATGTACATTATTTACATTATTCGGACTATTGTCCTCATCTTTGTCGACATATTTTAGGACCCAACAAGTGTGAGTTCAATACCCGGTTAAGGCAGTGGAGAACTTTCAGAGGGAAATTAACAGGAGATAACTGATAACTGACATCCATCAAACATGTCATGTGGAACTAGAACCCCGGTGAGCGAAATAAAGGGTTCAGTTCAACGTTCCAACCACCTGAAGAAGGCCGGGGCGTACAATGGACGAAACGTTGTGATAAATGTGGCGACAAAATGAGGACAATAGTCCGAATAATGTAAATAATGTAAAAATTTAATATAAACATATAAAAAATAACGGATATTTAATCTAGCAAGGGCCTGGTATTTTTATGCCAAAAAACACATACGTATATACGCACATACACAACAACATATTTATATTTACACATACATACATATGCGTGTATATATATATATATATATATATATATATGCACACATACGGGCATACACATATGTACACATAAACATATATACATAAAACATTACACGCCTCCATACACTTACATACACACACTCATCTAAACAAATATGCAATGTATCTATCTACCTATCCATCTAACTATATACACATATATACAACTATATATATATATATACATACATACATACCTAAACACACACACATATATATATATATATATATATATATATATAAATTAAAAGGTAAGAGATAAAAATTTTTTTAAAATTTAAAAAACCCACATCCATCCATATATACATTTAACATATAAAAATAGATGGGTAGAATTAGATTAATTTGTACTTAAAAAAATAACTGTGGAAGAAAACGTTAACAATATAAAAAACCCACGGAGTGATTAACACGTATCTATTTCTTAAGTTTACATATATATACCTAGGTATATAAAAATATCAGAAAACTATCAGATTTTGTATGTCAGTTATTTAGGAAAACTTTTACATGCATATACACATATATCAACACAAATAAAGTTTGCTAACCCAAATTAAATGATCAAAAAATATATAGAGCATCACATAAATATACACAATGATATATATAGAAAATCAAAAGAGTCATTCCATTTAAATGTCATGTCTGATGCTAGTGATCCAAGATGGAACTGTTATAGGTAACATGTTATAAAAATGTGTTTGTTTTAAATCGTTTTTTATGTCTGCATTTGGAAATGATCTCAATACAAAGATTTAGCAACTTATCTTGATTTTTATTTTTGATAATAAAAAATTTTTTACGCAATGCATAGATCGCACCAATTGCGGAAGTTATTAGGGGTTCTAGCTCTTGATAAGAATCTCCATTCGAAATGCGGGGGTTAATCCCTTATCCACCAGATCCCAGTAGTGTTTGGATAAGGAAGTTTGATTTTTGAGGTATTGATATTTAAAAGTGTGTGTGTGTGTGTGTGTAAAATGTATGTATGTATGTTTAAAACTTCTCTCTGTAAATTTTAATCCCCACCTTCACTTTTAGGCCTTTTTGTTCTTATCTCGTCTGTTACCCTTCTCTAGAGCTTTCATTTACCTCTCCCATTTGTCCCCCACTCTCATACATACACTCTCACTAAATTTTTTTTTTTTAATTTCTTTTTGAATTTGTAGGTCTGAGGAATTGGATCGTAATTACGATTCGCAATGTAATAAATTATAACCATGGAATATTAGTGTTTAAGCATTTTTATTATATTTTTACTCTGTCCTGGACATTGAGTTCTACCCTGATTCTATCCTCTTGAAACTTATATATATATATATATATATATATATATATATATATATATATATATAAAATTTAGTAACTGAAAAAAATCTTTAATTTTAATGTATTGAAAATTCTCCAAAGTGGGATATATTTTATGTTCTCTTAAATATTTTAGTTTTTGGTAAGAATTATAGAGGAAATATTAGGTTTTTTTTTTTTTTTTTTTTTAACTAAAATTTACTTGAATTCAAAATTGGAAAAAATACTGCATGATAAAAATGATTATATTTCTGCATATAAGAATGACTTAAGAGAATTTGTAGATTTTCCAATATACAAGTGTATTCAATATATTGTGCAAAACTAGTCTATTGTGTTATTTATCTGCACATAGTAAGTATTTATTTCAAAATATTTAATCTTTACAGTAGTGAACGAGCAAAATTTTTGCATGATGTTTGCTACTGAGTCTGGTTAAGGCAGCTAATACGACATACCACATTAAGAATGTGGTCTCCTTTGACTGTTTCCTACTTAGGTTTTAGAATAACTGATAACTACCTAGAAATTGACATTACAGGAGAATTAATTTATTTTCATGAATGGGTAACAAATTTTAAAATATTTATTATTCATCTTATTTAAATATCTTTAAATTTTGAATTAGATGTCATCTTTTCATTAATAAATTTATTTTTACTACTGTATCTAAATAATTTCAATCATATTTACTAGTATAGAGCCAGCCATTATATATTCATTTTGTTTATATACAGATAAATAATCCTTTCTTTATGAATATTTTAATGAATATCAACTATTTTTTTCTTTTTTAAATGTTGATCGTTTTAGAAATAGTGATTAGTAAAAAAAAAAAAAAAAAAATTTTACAATGTTTTTAAATTTCTTTTTAGTTCAAAATAAATCTGTCAGTTTTATTTTTTGCTCACTAGGTTCCTTGAAAGGAAAGAAACGTGTGGCAAGAATGGACAAAGTCCTTGATGACTTGATCAGACAAAGAAAAGCAACAGAAGCTTCAAAGGACCAACGCAAAAAAGTCAGTCCCAAGACGCCTCGTGGTGCAGGAGCTGGCCGTTTCTTCTCCTCCCCTAGAACCCCAGTGTCTGCTGAAAAGTATACTCCTTCAGTCACTCCTCTTACAACTCCTCGGGGCTCTGGTGCAAAGAGTCCACATAACCGTCTGCTGGGTGCCAAATACACACCGCCATTTCGCTCAGCATCTACGTCGCCTCGCACTCCATCCAGTCCTAAAACTCCTACAAGTACTGAAAAGACACCAACAACCTCGCCTGTTGGATGTATGAAGATGATCGTTACTGACAAAGCGCCTTCTCCCACTGTTGCTAAAGTTATGGAAGCTGATGCCAGTGAGGGCATTACAAAATTGACTTGTGCATCTCCGATGGTCACAAGCACATCTAGCACTACAAAGTGCACCCCTCTAGCTCAAACTCTTATGAGTGAGCCGATGGTAAGCTCCCATCTCTCTGATAATTCTTTCTTCAACAAACCTCGAAATTCTCTTCCACAAGTTACAGCTCATCCTATCTCTAGTACTACTGTTGCCACCACCACTACTACTGCCTCTTCTATCAATGCACCTGTTAACTCTTCCTTATCCACCAACTCTCCTGCACATGCTGCTACCCACCAGCATTTTACTACTGTACAGACTGTGGCTGGTCAGCGTCCTAGTCTCTCACTTTTTACCCACCAAAATTCTGGAGTTGGCCAAAATGTGCCCCAACCTGGAATTGCTCGTGTCACCCAAGCACACCTTCCCAATTCTCCTCTTTCCCAGCCAGCCCGGTCTCCACATGCTCAGTCCCCTCTAAGCCAACCTGCTCATTCTCCTATGACTCATACCAGTCAGTCACCCATGAGTCATACTGTTCAGTCACCAATGACACAACTCAGTCAGTCTCCCTTATCCCAACCTGTTAACTCACCAATGAGCCAGGCAACCCAGTCTCCTATTTCTCAGCCCATACAGTCTCCTATGAGTCAGCATTCGCAGTCCCCAATGACACAGCTGGCTCAGTCACCCATGGCACAACCTGCTCAGTCTCCAATGAGTCAGACTTCTCAGTCCCCAACTGCCCAGTCTCCATTAGCTCAGACAGCACAATCGCCCTCTGCATCCCAATCTCAGATTGCTCAAGCTAGTCAGCTGCGTGGAACAGTGCAGCAGAATATATCTGGTGCCAAGCCACGGCTTAACTTGTCAGGAAAACCTAGGGTTTCCACCACGGATAAGCCAAAGTTGTCCATGGCTAGCAAACCACGTCTGTCTTTAGCTTCCCCTTTGTCTGTTTCAACCTCAACTATCCAATCACACTTGAGCAGCACACCAACATTGCAAGCTCAACTCAACCAGGCAGTACAGCATCAAGTTCTTCAACAGCACCTGAGTCAAACAACCCAGCAGCAGGCATCCCAGCTGGTTCAACAACAGCGTGCACAAGCCATTAATCAGCAACAGATGAATCAGGCAGTTGCTCAGCAACAGATGGTGTCAGTTACCGAGTCAGCTCAAGCTCAATTGAGCCAACAGCAGCAGCAGCAGCAGCAGTTAGCTCAACAGTTGCAGTTGAACCAACAGTCTCAAGCACAGCTGAGTCAGCAACAGCAACAACAGTTAGCTCAGCAGCAGCAGCAGCAGTTAGCTCAACAACAGTTGAGCCAACAACAGCAGCTGCAGCAGCTTAGTCAACAGCAGGTGCAGACTCCGCAGCTAACACCACAGCAGCAGCAACAGTTGACCCTAGCACTGGCCCAACAGCAACTCAACCAACAGCAGCAAACTGGGACTCAGTCCATGTCTCCACAAATGGCCCATCAGTTGAGCCAGTTAATAAAACAGCAAAGGATTCAGCTGACTTTGAGACAGCAAAGAGCTGCTCAACAGCAGCAACAACAGCTGGCTCAAGTAAAGGCTCAGCAGTTAGTCTCAACTCAGCAGTTAGTTCAGCAACAATTAGCCCAGTTAAATGCACAGCAGATGGCACAAACAACATCGCAACCCCAGTTGACTCAGTCGACAGTTTTGACTAGCCAGTCACTTGCCCAACCAAATGTGACGGCTGCTTCCCCAGCACCAAAGGTTTGGAGCAAGCCCTCAGCTCAACATCAGCTTCTTCAAGCAGCTCTTTCTCAAGTCCCACAGAACCAAGCAAGTTTGAGCCAGATGATTCAAGCAGTTAAATCTCGAATGACTCAGGCCAGTAATCCGCATTTGTTGAAATCTATTTCCCAGTTAAACCAAGCCAGTCAATCCCAGATAAACCAAGGTGCTCAGTTGCATATTAATCAGCCTCAAAGTACACTGACAAGTTCATCTCCATCACTATCCACGCTTGTCATGGCTTCACAGTCCCTACCCACTTCAAGTACTCCCACTCACTCTGCCTCTGCTGTACCTTTCCACTCTTCTGATAATGTTCAAAACACTTCCCAGGCTAGTGGTCACCTCACTCAAGTGGTTTATCATTCACAGCCTTCTCTTGTAACTAACCCATCTCACGTTGGTCCTCCACCTACGACTAGTGCTGCACAAACAGCGACACAACAACTATCTCCAGCCATCACACAGCCCTCACTGTTGGTGCGTAAGGAAGAAACAATCCCAGCACAACAAACACAACTTGGAATACAGCGAAATGAATCTACAGACTATAAGCTTTCCATTTTTACACAGGCTCCCTCATCATCTGCCACTGTGACGACTGCAGAACCGGTTGCCACTCCCCAGTTTGTGTCACAAGCCCAGGCTACTCGGACAGATGCATCACAGAGCCTTTCCAGACAGTTGCCTAACTTGGGACGGAAATCATCCCTCACTGGTGAAGCTGGAGGATTGTCTACTCAACTAACAGTTTCTGAAGCGCCTAGCAGTCAGGCAGGAACAATTGTTGGTCAAAGCAGCCAGCCTCTGACAACTCAAACCAGATTTGTGCCTTCTAATTTGCTGCAGACGAGTACAGAATCAACTCTACTTGGCCGTGACAAGTTTGTTGCACCAAGTGATGCCATTGCTTCAAACCAAGAAAGGTTTACTCTAGTCACCATGGGCCAGGCTATAAATCGATCTGTTCACTCAACAGTCAGTCAGGCAAGTGAACTTTCATCCCCATCTGGTCGGGAACGCCTAACATTGGCATCCATGCTGCAGCCTTTTGACATGGCTGGACTTTCCCAACAAGAGAAGCAAACCCTCTCCACTCTAACGCAGTCTCGTGATCTTTCTTTTCTACAAAATTGTACTCCTGAGAGTGAAGGAACTACTGGTACTTCTCAGCAGTTCTCTACTATAAATAAACCTACTTCTACTGTGGGATTCCCTCAGACCCATATGCAAATTGGGGATCCCCAGGTTTCTCAGTCTTTTATAATGCCTTCATATGGTGTGTCAGCCATGATTGGCAAGCCTCCACCTCCTTATTCAGTTGCTATTGCTGAGAAAGCATTGTCGCTTAGGACATCAATGGCTGGTCGTAAGGACACTAACATTGTCACTCAGCTTCCGTCAGCAACTGTGGCTTCTGTGACATCAGCTGCTGACAAAACTGTGACATTTGTTAAAAAACCTGAGACATCTCTACCTTCAACTACAGTTGCAGTTTGGGTAACCACTCCAAACACATCCTCAGAAGTAGGAACCAATGTTGCCTCGGGTCACTCCTCCGTTGTAACCACTCAGCTGGGTGTGAACTCCCAGCCTGCTACTAGTACCCAAGTATCCGTCCAGAAGATCTCTCAGCAACAACCCCAGCAATCAGCAGCAGCAACAGGTGAGATTAATAAAACTCAAACTGAGAAAGATGATAAACAAACTATGGATTTGGTCAATACATCCCTCTCGGCTGTACGCACAGCCATTAGCATGGGCAACCAGTTGTACTCCCCAACTGTTACCAAGGATAATCTATTAATTCGCAAAAACTTACTGGGATTTTCTTCTCTTAATAAACCTACTACAGCTTCGGAAATGGCCAATGTGACAACATCTGGCACTTCATCAATAGCCGCTAATAACTCTTTGCTTCAGCATATGTTGGGAACATCCACTTCAGAACACTTAACAACTACTACACCCCACTTGATACCCTCGGTGTCAGCTCACGAACTTAACTTACAAAAGATGTCTCTGAGTAGTGCCTCTGTCACCAGTAGCTCAAATCTTGGTGCCTTGACAACATCCCATTCTCTCAGTCAGCCGTCTGTCACTCCGAGCACACCGTCTACTCGGCCACGGTTGACCACCATTGCAGCTTTATTGAATATTGATTCAGGTCCTAAAACCCAGGCTGAGCTGCAGATAAGACAGCTTTCAATGGCAGGGATCACAACAACAGATGGATCATCTATATCAAACCTAGGCCAGACGCTCAGTATTATTTCGCCAGTTACTAGTTTCTCTACAGCAGTTAGCAAAACTGTTAATCCTTCATCTATTGCTACAACCAGTCAGGTTACAATGGTACCTGCCCTGACAACAAAACCAAATCCAAACAATCATTCAACTACAAATACAGCTGACAGTTCCCAAACAGAGCAGCAGCAAACTCCAGTTTCTGAATCTTGAAGAATTTAAATCTCAATGGTGAGTTTATTTATTAAGGCTGTTGCACTTCTCTCCTGAATTCCAAAGATTCATTACCATTTAGCAACAATGTTTACAAATTATTGGAAACTATGTATTAGAAGTAGTAATAATAATAATAATAATACAGGCTATTTTCAAAAAGAATTTATCCATAATGCTTGAACAGATGTCTCACAGCCTTTCTAGACAGCTGCTTAACTTGGGATGGAAATCGTGGACATAATGTGTATTCCACCAATGACCTTATTTTTGACAAGGTATTTACAAAATGTGAACTAACTTTTGTAATTTATTAGCCAAATAATATTTAAATGTTATGTTTATTAGATAAATTCACTCTCATTTCCTTATTGAAACGTCTGACATGAACGAAAGATTTTCTGGTTAAAACTTGCCTAAACATTTATCCAATAAGAATGAGATTTTCTGATTAAAAATGCTAGGACTGATTATTTATCACTTCATAGGTGTGTAGTGTCCAATGATTTCACTCCATTAATTATTATAAATTGAAACTTATTCCAAGTGTGGATCATACATTGGTACAATTTGCGTGTTTAAATTGGTTTATGTAAGGAAGTTACATGGAAAGAATTGAAAACTACGGTTTTGGTTTATAGTCTTTTTATTGCTTTTAAAATATTTTTGTTTTACTCTTGTTATTGATGATAATGGTGTGACTTCAAGCCAAGTTATTTTTAATTAGGCCATTTGTGTGGCTTATGTCTCCTAGTGACACGTATCATTTCTTTCTCCTTTTCAAAAAAAGACAAACTTATGCATGAAGATCTGTGCTGTTGATGATTTGCTTGTACTTAATCTACTGGCATGGCTCTTCTGCTGCCACTGACTCTTTATACAGTTTGTTCGAGTTCAAACCTTGAGGGCGGGTATTTAGTTTTAAACAAGTCTTTCACTCCCTTTTCCATTTATATGTAAAATACTCATGACTTAATAAATGACTGTCATTTTGATTATTTTCTACTTTTGGTTCTCTGAACTTCAAATACAGATGATGAGTGTAATGGCCTGAATAAACAAACCTTTGACAATGCAATACTTAAAATACAAATCTTTTTCTAAATTACACTGGAATGCTTTATCATATCAAAATATGAGCGCAGTACATGGAAGACATCTTCATAACATAAAAGTATAATAAACCATTTCACTTTCTTTTATTTTTTTTATAAACTTTGAAAACTATTGCACATGAAAAAAAAATCTTTAAAATTTCTTTTCTTTTGAAAAGAGAAAAATCTGGACATCAGATGATATACTTGGCTTTGTGCACACAGACAATATTTTCAAATTTTCACATATTTGTGGTTATCAGATCTTTGTAAGGAAAAAGACAATAACTGCCATTTGGCTTTTCATTTATGTTTTCATTTTGATTTTTAAATTTTCTCTCTATGATGATAATACTTGATTATTGTCAAATTTCAAAAAGGCCATTTGAAAATGTTTACAGACTTGGCAATAGTTTTTTTTTTAAAAATTGTAAAAAACTTTTTCTTTTTTAAGACATTTTCAAATTAACTAAATTGACCTTAGTTATTTAAAATTTTCGTATTTTTATAGTGAAAATTAGCATCAATTTTAAAAATATTTCTTGTACTTTTTAACAGGCCTTTATGTGATATGGATATAATCAAATATTAATGTTTTATTGCAGTGTCTGCACTTTTTGACTATCTTTTCAGAAAGAAACCATTTTTTTTTCCTGAGGGTCTGAATTGAAGTGTAATCACAAAAATTTTGTTGTTTTAAATTTAATACTGCAAAAGATATAATAAAATATTTGCTCTTCAAAATACTGAAAATGAAACATTTTTCATTTCTTTGTTGGTGTGGATTGGTCTAACATTTTAAAATCATGATACATGATATGAAATCAAGAGGAGAAAAAAAAGTGAAAAGAAACCCAAACACCAACATTATGCCTCATCTAAATAAGGCATTATTAGATCTTTGGGAACTTTGCAATTTTACTAACCCTGAACAGGTTGAACCTCATAACCAACTCTTTAAATAATAATGACACTAGTAAATTTTAGAGAGTTTGAACAGGAACTTGAATTTAAAAATAAGATTCTGGTATATAAGTGATGACATAATTTGAGTATGAATTTGATTAATCAAGATTTGTTAATATTAGTACTTAAGAATGAATGAGGCAGAAACAGCTATGAACTGGAATATTAAGAACCTTTGATACTGCTAAAACTGCGATTCTCACATGTTTACCTCTTCTCTATATTTGCTTTATATATAAGGCAAAAAGGAAAACTTTACTGATGTTTCATCCACTGATGGAGTTTAACAAGGTAAATGGAAGGATTTTATTTTGCAGCATGTATTTATAAACAGAAGTTTAAAAAAAAAAAAACTTAGTTTCATCTAAGTTTTCAAAATTTTTAAATTTAAAAATACTAAAATATTCTTCAAGATAACTGTTAAAGTTAAGGTAAACTATAGAAGATACTAAGTGATGTAATTTAATGCCTAATTTTCAAATATTTCCTTTCCTAAAAGAAATATTTCTTCCCCAAGCCAATATGATATGATCATAAAAATTTTAATAAATTAAAGAAAACTTAAATCAAAACTTTCTATTTAAAATAGATGAATAATTTATCAATTAAAGTGAGGTTTTTATTACAATAATAAATAAAAAAAAATTCAACAATAGTTCTGGTGTTAACATTACATACATACATACATACATACATATGTATCTATACACTCCTGATCAAAAATTTAAGACCACTTTAAAAAATTTTATAAGAGACTGTCATGGATACATTATAAACTTTTTTTTTACTTAATGTTACTAATTCTATAATCTAAAAGGTTATGTAGACAAAAAGTTATAATCCGATCAATTTATTCAGAAATGGACATTTTTATAAAATGAGGCGTTTTACACTTGATCAAAATTATAAGACCAGGGAGTATAAATTGTTAGATCTAGTGTAATTCCAATGTTTTTAGTTCAGTTAGAGATTAGAAAACACTGTAAAGGTGTCACTATGCCTAAAGCAAGCAAACTTACCAAAGTTGAGCATGCTTGAATTCTATATTTCCATAATCAAGATTTGTCACAGCAGGTGATCGCAGTTAAGGTAAATCACAGTAAAACTGATTTGCAACTTTCTAAAGGACAGTGTGAGTTATGGAAACACAAAGTCTACTGGTTGGCCTAAACAATTTCTCCAACATTGAGTAGGAGAATAAGACGGGTTGTTGTGAAAGCCAGTGGACTTTCTTCTAGTCAAATTAAGGCAGCCACAGATGTTGATTGCAGTCCAGTAACCATCAGACGACACTTACGACAAAAAGGCATGGTAAATAAAAAGTGCAAGCAATTTCCACATCACAAAGTGAACTGTTTACGGTTTGATCGTGAATACCAAACAGGGACATTGAGAAGTGGAAGAAAGTCCTATCTTCTGCTGAGAAAAAATTCAATCTAGATGGTCCTGATGGCTTCCAATGATATTGGCATAACAAAAACATGCCTCCTGAAATTTTCTCCACACGTCATAGTGGTGGAGGCTCCCTAATGGTATGGGGTGCCTTTTCTTAAAGAGGGACGATAGAGCTCCAGGTGGTGCAGGATCGTCAGACAGTGGTTGGTTGTTAACATACTACAAAAAGTAGATATCACAGATGAAAATTTCAAAACAGGTACTAGGTGTTATCTGATTGCATCTTCTTAATCTACATGATGAAAGGAACTTAGCAGTGTTTATTTCATCAAAATATCTCAAACCGATTTATTTTTATTTTTACACATGCTCAACTTTTTTTTTTGTCTATTATGAATTAGGACAAAATACCATATTTAGACTCCTATATTTTAAAAAGCAATTAAGAACAACAGTTAAAATTATACTAGCTTGTTAGGTACATAACAAAGAAATTAATAATAAAATTACAGATAGTATCACTGCATATTTCTTAAGTAAATTCAGTCTGAATATGCAAATTTTATAAATCAAACCCTCTGCAATGACGTGCAAACCTGAGGTTTGACATTTCATAAAGCTGGAAATAAGACCCACATTCATCCCAAATTTCAAATATCACATTATGACTATACCAGTAACATGCCTAATTTTTTGGGTAGTGATAGAATGGATATATTCTGAATTATTCCACTTCAAAATTGAAAAAAAATGCTTTTTAATCCTTTGTCACAGGGTATTTAAAAGGCCGATTTTAGACTTGCTTGAATTGTCATAAAATGAATACTTCTTACACTAGAAACACCGAATTTCATATCTAACCATTTCTGGGGGTGCTCTTTCCACTTATGATTAAAATGGCCTAAAATCAATAGATTAGAATGTATATGGAGCAGATGCTGGACAAGTACAGTCCTGACTCAACATGTACAATTTCTGGACTGGAAATAGAGAGAAGCTTAACACATGCCAAGCAATACCCACTAATGAACATAAACAGAAAACTCACCATATCATAAAGTGGTATGCAACTACTAAATTTGTAACTGAAATCATTAAAATAAAAATATTTTATCTGTAATTTGATCAAAAGGTTGAAGTTCTGACACATGTTAGTTCCGATCACTACGTAAGCAGTATGAAATCACCAAATTGTCTCAATTTTTAAACTGTAATGTTCCTCTCACATTGTGCACATAAAAATAAACACAGACATAAAATTAATCAAATAAAGTTGGAAATTTTCAGTAATGGTGGGCTGGGTGTTGGGATACCTCTTCACTAAGTAATCAAAAGTAAGTCTTGGCATAATCTTCATGCAATCCCTCCAAATAATCTAATTCAGGCACTACCCAAGTTCTTCTAGTCTGACTAGTATATCTTTACTGGCGTATCCAGTTTATATAGTTCAAGTATGAGCCCATTTGTTACTTCCGCACATAAAAGCTTACGACCCAGTGTTGGATCCGACAAACAAAACACTGAGAGTCAATCCAACACTCTCACATCTTTCACCTATGAATCCCAAATTTGTTACCTCATGGTACAATGCAGGACAATTCGCTTTTGGACAATTCTGAACTTCTACAACTTTCTCAATAAGGTGTACCCATCTGTTCTTAGGAAAGATTGGGAACAATTTATGTAGCCAAGTAATAACAGAATCCCAGGTTTCCTGATACTTCTCTTTCAATGAATATATTTGAAGCAGCAACTTCTTGGAACATTCCACTTTAGGCAAAGACATCTTCCTTCCACGTCCTTTTGTCATAAAACAATGTAACTGATTCTGTACATTGTCATCTTCAAAAGGAAAAAAAATGAATTTATAGTCCTATCCCATTTTGTCAAAGTACTACTTAGTATTCATCTACAAATTATTGTGTACATTTTCTTACTGAATTTGAGTTTATTCGCAGTTCATAAAAAAATTGCGCTAAATACAATTAGGGATAAATATAAATTTAGTCATCCATACACCTGAGTAACAAATAAGGAAGCACTAAAATATTTTCTCAACAAACCTATTTCCACCGTGGTCTTTAAAACTGATGCATTAAAATATTTTAGAATAAAATAAACAATCATAATCCATATGAAATAAATATTACTAAGAAATAATAATAAATTAAGAAAATGAATATTAAATCATAAATCTGTAACTAGATAGCAATAAATCATAACTAAAATCCATTCATGAGATAATTTAAAAAGTAAGAAAATTGTTTGAAGGGGTAACTAAACAAAATGTTCCTTGGTAACTGAAATACTGATAATTATTGTGAGAATACTGCAAAAACAGAAAAGACATTCTAGAATTTTTCTGCATTTTTTTTTTTTGCAGAATGTTTTTTACCTCATTCTTTGAATATGAATATTTTTCAACCAATAAGTCCTACATTTTTTTGTGATTTGAATCTGAGCATAAAGTAAACAAATCGATTTTTGTTTCATGTTTTTTATGATGAAATCTGTTTTTAAATCCTATTTACATATCAGAAAATTAATATTTAAAACAAATTCTTACCAATTTCCTTGAAAATTTCGTCCATAGAAAATATGCTGGTTGATTCTTGTGTCTGTGTTGATGCTGTGTATTGACTGTTGCATGGAGTTGAAATGATGGCCGAGCGAGTTGCTCGATTACACATAATTGCACACGTGCAAAATGGAACTATCGTTTCATATTTGATTTTGATTTAGTTTCATAGATTATTAAATGAGCGTTTTAATATATTTTATGTGTTTTTATTTTTACAAGAAGCATTTGAATTTTATGATCAAACTTTTCATTTGAATTGTTACAAACTTCTTATTAAAATTAAAAAATATAAAATATATGAAAATGAAGCTTAGAATATTAACTTTGAAACTAAAATTGTAATAAACCCTGCGGAGTGCGCATGTTACAAAATTTGAGGAAGTCTAAACTGCCGTCAGTGGAAAAAAAAAAATGACCAGAATTTTGCGAAATCACCAAAATGTCTCTATTTTCAAACTGCAACGTTCCTTGCACACTGTAGTACATATAAAAATAAATAAGATAGAAACAAAGTTCATGAAATAAGCTTTTATTTGGTATGCATTATGTTTTTATGGAGATATTGAATGAATTAACACGGCGATATATATGCTTTTTTAGTGTTTAGTTAAGAATTTCATCGGCTATAAGCTGAGTGCTGGGATACCTACAAAAAGCATCATTGGTGACGGAGGGTCATTGTTTGTGTGGGGATGGATAATGCTGCAATCCACGTTTCTTGCCGGACCTTGATCTTTCTACAAGAAAATGAGGTCCATCTCTTGAGACAGCCTGCATGCTCACCGGACTTGAACCCAATTGAAAATGTTTGGGGATGGATGACAAGATGTTTATCGAAATAGCAAACAATATTCAACAAGAAATGAACTTTGTGAAGCTATCTTCAGAAGCTGGAACAATATTCCTTGCAGCGTATTTCTAATTTCTAACATGCCCCAAAGAATTTTTGAAGTCATCAAAACCAGTGGAGGTAGAACTCATTATTAAATTTGGTTGTTGAATATTTTCGTACAATTTCATAGAATTTTTGTCTCTGGTCTTATAATTTTTATCAAATGTAAAACGCCTCATTTTATAAAAATGTCAATTTCTCAAAATGTTCGCATTATGACTTTTTGTCTACATAACCTTTTAGATTATAAAATTAGTAACCTTAAGTAAGAAATGTTTAAAATTTTTCCATGAAAAACAGTCTTTTTAAAAAAAATTTCAAGTGGTCTTAAATTTTTGATCAGTAGTGTATTTTGTATACAAATTCTTATCTTTGTTGTTATTTGCTGCTTAACGTATTTTAACTCAGATTTAGATTCATTGTGTTTGCATATAGTAAGATTTGATTTTAATGTCAACTGATCTCTTAAAAAGAATAACAACTTATATTTAAGCAATTAATTTGCCCTGGTTTTGTATCAAATTTGTCTAAGTTGATTTAGGCAATCAATATGATTTCCCTAAATAGTTTTTCTTTGCTGAATATTTAAAATTCCTTTGATAAAGCAACAACTATGGTAAATTTTTTTTAAGTATAATCAGCCAGGGTTTGATCTAAATCATGGGGAGTATTAATTTGTTCCAGGTCAGTGAACTGCCTTAGATGGAAACGGGTCATCTGATAATTGACCATTGTCCTGATGGCAAAGTAGCCACATATCGCTTCGAACCACACAAATATAGCCATGATGAGATTGACTGATCGTTCCAGAGGATAAATATTTTGTTGTTCATTGAACAACAATAACATGATGAGAGGAAACTGCACAAGAAGAGTGAGCAGCCAGGATCCAGCAAGTTCAGGTACCTGTAAAGAAAAATGGATAAGAATTTTGTTTTATTTATTTTTTTAAAAAAAAAAAAAAGAAAAAAAAAAAGAAGAAACTCAAACAGAAATTTATAATTTATATTGCCATTTAATATTAATTAATTATTTAAATATTTGAAATCAATTAAATATTAAATGTCAACTAAAAATGAAATGTTATCCAGAAAGCACCTTGTAAAATTAAGAAAATTGTGGGCAAGCTACCTGTATATTTTTTTTTTTTTTTTTTTTTTTTTGTTGTCTGACCTTGCCAAAATTAAATAAGCATAGATAAAACCTGCATGGAGTATGTTCGACTTTGAATTTATTTAAAATATTGTTTAGAACCCTGTACAATTAGGTGTAAATGTCTTTAAATCAACTGATAAAAATGATTCTTAAAAAAAAACTTGGAAATTTGGCATTAATATTTGTAAGACTATATTCAACAGAGAAAATGATAAAATTGTTTGTCTTACTCTTTCCATGAGGTTACCAACATAGCCCAAGTAGAGTCGGATGATCTCAATGATTGAGAACATAGAATATGCAGCAACAAGAATGATTTTGTACAAAATGATCAAAGAGGAAAACTGAAAAATATTGAAAAACATTATTTTACTGAAAGGAAGGTTATGTTTTTATTTTTTTTTTTGTTTTTTTTTTAATATCAGAGAAATTAAGACTGATTTCAAGATATAAATTTCAAAAACTCCTAATGATGAATTCAGTTTCTATAAAAGGTAAAAAGTTACAAATTGTAAACAAGATGTTAATCAAGAAATAATTCTACTTAATTTTAAACAAGAACTCAGACTTCACACCTGTTAACCCTAAAAATATATCAAGAACAGTTGGTCATCTGTGCAATTATTTGTTTTTGTTAAAAAAATACACACACACACACACATACAATCTCATCTATGGCATAACATAGCTTCCCTGTTGTTTTTTTTTTGTTGTTTTTTTTTAATAAATATTTTCATGGAAATTGTTCTGATGAACTTTCCTGTATGGTACATAGAACTTATGAATTTAAGTGCAGTACTAGATTAGCAGCAATGTCTCCTCATTTTACAATTGAAATGTGAAGATGTAATCCTAAGTTCTATGCTAACAGTTTCTTCTATTGCACTTCTTATTTGTGGAGCTCTCTTCTAGCATCTTGCTTTCCAGTCAACTTTGATCCTCAAAAATTTAAATGTATATAAATCATTATTTTCTTAATTCCTATTCTTTTATTGCTCTCTCTCTCTCTCTCTAAGAATTTTTTCTTATATTCTCTCACACTCATTACTCTCCCTCCTTGTGTCATAGTGGTTTTATTACCTTGTTTGGTGAAATGATTAAATAAAAATCATTTTTTATGAATCATGGTATATTTTTATAACTTAAATTTTACTGCAGTGTATACTGAATTGGCAACTATATTCCAGTCTGAGAGAAACATCTTGATTAACAACCAACAATGATGTCTGCTTGAAATATAGCTTGAATTTTAGTGTGTATAATGCCAGCTGTAATTTGATATCATTTATATTCCCATGTTCTGCTCTTAGCCACTTAGTTTTATTGGTAAGAATTTGGTATTATTTCACAAAAATTTCTTCAGACCAATATTTGCATTATATTTTATTATTTTTAACACAATTTAGAAATCAGTGTAACTCAGATATATAATGCATGATTATTAAGAGTGATTAACCAAATAATATTACAAAGTGATGTTATTAAAATTGATTCTTTCTCAGAGGAAAAGAAACAACAAATGTGCAGGAATTTTTTTTTTTTTTTTATTTACATAATTTTGCTTAATAACATAAATGAGTTAAGTATGAATAAAGAACTTAAAATTTTGTGAGATGCATGTGCTAATGATTTGGTTATTTCATTGCCCTATGTTCGTAGGCTGTACATACAAGACAATGTATATTGTAGAGTCAACTGAATTTGCCAAAGGAGTTTTTAAGAGTCATGGATTCCTTGCAAACTATAAAAAAAAAATGCTTGGTGACTGAGATTCATATTTCACATTGGTAGGAGATAAAAATTCCAGATGGATCCCCCCGCCCCCAAAGGAAGATTAGTGAAACGCATTCTTCCTATTCTCCAGCCTGCATTTGGCCACAGGCAGGACAAAATGAACACTACAGTTATCTCCCTTGGCAAAGGAAAGCGCTGAAACGGTTTTTTATTTGTTCGTTACAGAAAAGAAACTAATGCTCTAAGTAGTTTGTGTTTCTAAGACCCTAAAGGATCAATAGACTGATAAAAGGCATTCAGTCACAGGATGTTTGTTTTTTAAAAAAAAAAAGTAAAACTCTGTGCTGGATTTAGACTTGCTGAGATTAAACTATATAAAGATTGGATGCTACTTGTTAAAAATCATGAAATTATTTTAGAAATGACACTTAACCCACCAGCCTTTCTGAAAGTTTCATGATATCCTAATCCAGTGATTCTTAACTGATGTGCCACGGCACACTAGTGTGTCATGAAATATTGTCATGGCATACATACATACATACATGTGTGTGTGTGGAAGTAGTAATGGTACAGCATTAGTATTTGAATAAATGAATAAGTATTAAACTTTTTATCCCACATTAGCTAAAAAGGCTTTATCAGTTTTATTGTAATTTTATGTGAATTAAGCTTTTCAACCCAAAAATCAAAAATAAGAAGCAAGAAAGACTACACTCAACTGAAGAAGAAATGAAGGTCTGCTTATCACACATTCAACCATTGAAGAAATGAAAAAACAGTTACAGGTTTCACAATAAATAAGTTGCACAAATAGTTGAATAGACACATTTGTATGTGTATTTTTTTAATCTATGGTTTTATTTCATAACATTTAAATGTATACCCTTTAAAAATTTTGCTAAGTGTGCTGTGATGTTTTCATTTGCTCCTAGTTGTGTCATTGTTTAAAAAGGTTGAGAAACACTGTCCTAAGCCGTAGCTTGTTTGGCTTCAGCCTAAATCCAGCACTAGGAAGGTTACATGGATTTATTCTGAAGGCCAAGTGAAAAAACATTTTATGAATTAATGGTTCAGAAACTTGAAATGGACTGTACAAATCAGAGATGAATAAATCTAAGTTTCATTGCTTACCTTAACAACAAGAACAACTATTGAGCAGATGAACCAAAATGGAGCAAAAAAGACATTAAAATAAAGAGCCATTTGGAAAGGCAAACTGCTGATGTAGTCATGATCTGAAAGTAAAAAAACAACACTGAATAGAAAGGCAAACACTTTATTCAATTACCAGTACTTTATTAGAAAAGAAGTTATTTAAAATAAAAAACAATTTCAATCCTAGTTCTATGAAGAGTCAACAAATAGTTTAATATGAACATTTACCACTGTATGACATTTCAAAATAAGGACTGATAAAAGTTAATTTTCCCAAAGTATCAATTAACTGTAAAAATACAAATATTTACAGCATATTTTTTTTTTCTCTCAACAATGGTGAGTTTTGTCTTTAGCTTTTTTTACAACTACCGTGAGCATTTGCAAGAATTATAATTATAGCTTGGCACAAGGCTATGAATTAAAGTTTCAGTAAAGACTAAACTTATTACACTAGAAATGGTCTATGTCTAGTTTGTTGATCATTGCTCTACAATGAGGTCACAGAAGAAATATTAGAATTGTCGAAATTTTGATTTAAACAGGTATAGTACATCACAGGTGTGGAGCATACACTAAACATTTTACTCTTGTCAATGTTTTATAAAATTCTGAGCTAAAAGAATTCAGTAACTTCTTTACACAAGTTTCATTTGCTTTTATCTCATTATTTCAGTTTGCATATTCTCTAACAGTATCAAAAATGAATGTAATTTTAACCTCTGAAATCAAAATTATGGAGAAGTCAACAGGAAACCACTCTACTATCCTGTCCCAAAGTCATAGCAATTCACTGATATTTATAAAGAAATGAAGCTGTGGAGAGCCATGGATGCTAATTCCCTAAACTTACTTTTTACTCCTAGTGTGATTTCAATATTTGCTTTCCTAAGACGTGGAACTGTTAATTAAAATTATCATTTCTCTTAAAAATATCGACTTGTCATGTTCTTATCAGATTATTCTTGATTATCTGCAAAGTTACAGAAATAAAACTGACCAACAAAAGTCATTACCTGGGATCTTAAAAAGAAAAGATTAAGGTCAAATAATCTCTTCGAGGTTAGACAAGACTCGAAAAGTGAAAAGAAACAAGCATTTATTATAATAACAAAAACAATTTTCACATCAAATTGTACAAAATAGACCTTACACAAAGTTCCCCTTGTGAACTTCCAAATAGTCATGTCAGGATAACAGTTCTTGTATAAGTTAAAATCTTTGTTTTCTTTTAGAAATCAACAGTTCATGTAAAGCAGTTCACTTTTTTTCTTTTTTTTTTAAAAGACTTTCACTTACATCATAAATGTTCAAGTCCAAAGAGTGAGAAAGGAATACCTACTTCAAGTTTTGCTGTTTTTCTTAGACAAAATATTCAGTTTTTGAAATAGACTTATGCAGACACGAGATAAAAATTTCAAGTTTTGAAAACTCTTCTTTAGTAGAGATGGTTGAATACTTTTTACCTTGGCACACCAAATATTTTTCTTTTATAGCTTGTCAGTGTCACTAAACAGGATTGAAAAGTCAACTCTGGTGTATGTGTGTGGGAGAGGTACTTTTTATTTCATTGGTTCAAAATTAGAAAATGTATCTATTTCATTAATCTGAGCCTTTTTGCAAATTTTAATTTGATGTTTTTTTAGCAACATCAAATTGGAGCCTCTACTTTGCAAATAAATTTTTATTCATATTATATGCACATTTCATCTGAAAAGCTAATAAATCCAATATTTACTTAATTTTGGATAAATTGGATTATCACAAAAAACTTCAGCACCTCATTGATGATCATTCTAAATTGAATAAGAACACCACTGAATCTCTAAAGAAATATGTTAATAAACTTATAACATCCAACAATACTGTTGCAGGATCCCTAAAAATAAACAAAATTACTCGAGATTACCAACCTGGCTACTTATACAGTAATGATAAAATACACAAATCAGGATACCTATTACAACCTGTCATTTCTCAGATTCCAACATGCATATGCCAACTATCAAAATTTCTCAATGATATTATTACCCCATATCTCCCTACTAACTATAGCATTAAATCTACCCATGAATTCCTCCAGATACTTAAAAGCACAAAAGTAAAAACAAACCAAGGCATTCTTGCGTCACTTGATGTAGAGAATTTATTTACTAACATTCCCATCTCCGAAATTATTGATATTATCATTAATTCAGTGTATAAAAATAATTTAATTCCACCTCCATTTTAAGAAAACTATTGCTCACTTGCACCACTAGAGTTCCTTTTTATATCCAGAATGGTACTATTTACACACAAACTGATGGAGTAAGTATGGGAAACCCTCTCGGACCGTGCTTCTCCAATTATTATATGTCCTATGTTGAAAACAAGGTTTTTACTAAAGTTATTAAACTTAAAATATATGTTTGTTATGTAGACGATTTATTTATTTTAGCTGAAAACAAAAAAGAAATAGAAAATTTGAAAGCTACATTTCAACAAAATTCTATCCTAAATTTTACTTATGAACTTAGTGAAAAAAATGAACTTCCTTTCGTAGCTGTTCTTGTTGATTTTAGTAATACTTTTAAAACTTCTGTTTATAAAAAAACAACTAGTAAAGACTCTTGCCATCTTAATTTCTCTAGTGAATGCCCTCTTAGATATAAAAAAGGTGTTATTAAAAATTTCTTCACGAGAGCACATGAGAATTCATCCTCTCGCATGCTTTTCTCTAAAGAACTAAACAACGTAAAACAAACGCTTATTAATAACGGATTTCCTAATTATTTGTTGGATTTCCATATTAGTCGTTTTCTGTCTTTAGGTAGCTAATAGCAACGAGGAAAATAGAAACAATCAATAACATTAACATTTTTTATAATAATCAAATGAACGAAAATTATAAACAGAATGAATGTTGAATTAAGAACATTATAAAAAAAAAAATGCATAACACCAGTTGACAATAGTAAAAAAAATTAGATTAATTATTTATTACAAAAAACTTGAAAATAATAATTCACCTCTGAGAACAAAATTAAATAGGGCAAGTATTATTTATGAATTTAAATGCCCATTAAGGAATTGCATTCCTGATCAATCAAAATTCGTAAATAATTATATAAGCCACACTACATGTTTGACATGAAGACTCACTCTACACCTTTCTGACCATAGCTCAATTAGATCTCATTTAAATATTCATGGAGACCTACCGGACACTATTCATAACATACTTGTTGGTAACAAATATAATACCATCATCTACATGCAAAAAAAAAGGGCTAAAAATAATGGAAGCCTTATTAAAAAAAAAAAAAAAAAAACGACACTTAATAATATCAACTATGAACATGGACACAATATCTTGAAAATGAAAACGTTATTGTAATGGAATGTTTGGTGGTTATCATTTATTTAATGGTGTTGGTGGCCCAAATCAATCCATACAATTTTTTACACTATGAATATGTTAAGCAAAATTCAAAAACAAGAAACATTTGTGATAAAAGACAAAAGGCAAATATTTCAATAAGTAATTTTCAATATATTTTTGTAACAAAAATATATTACAAAAATGTAGTGGATTTTTTTTGTTGAACTCAAGTTTGGTGAAAGATTAAATTTTGTTAATGAAATCTGATTTGAAAATATGTTTGTTAGAATTTGTTATTGAAGATTCTGTAAATTAATTGCAAGAGAAAAATTTACATTTAAGAATTTACTGTTCATGTAAGTAGTAAATGTTAGTAAAGTTGAAGGCAATTTTGTAACCAAAGAAGTTATCTACCTTCGATTGTTTTGTGTAATACAATGTTCTTGAATGTTAAGAAATAAAGTTGATTTGTTAGCAGGAATTTGTTTAACTTCTGTGTAAGGAATTTGGTGAGTGAATGGGAATAGAGTTCACTGGTGAGTTTTGGGGAGTGAGTGTGAATATTGTTAAGTTTGTATAATGTTTGTTTGAATGAAAAACTTAAGATTGTGTGACATGAAGTTTAGTTGCAATTTGTTTGATGTCACAATGCTCACTGTGAATGAATTTCTATTTCTATTTGCTTTGGGTGGCTCACAGAGACTTGGTGCGAACTTGGATTTCAGTCACAAGCTGTAAAAATTAGTTAAGCGTGGGTGGATAGTCATGCCTACTTGTATATTTATTAACCAATGAGAGCTTGAGATTTTTTTGAAAGTGTATGAAGTTGAAAGTGTTCTGTGATCCACTTTTGGCACAGATTTGACGAAACTATTTTTTGGGTATTGGAATAATGTAGAATTTGAGTTCTACAACATACATGCAACAAACTATTTCTTATTTAACAGTTAAAATATTTCATTCTTGAAAATGGCTAAATGTATAGCCGAAAGCACTCGGATTAAAAGAACATTTGAACAGTTTTTATATAATTTATCATCTGAAAAGAAAAAAATTATTAGATCACACAAGAAATTGAATAAAGAAACTAAATCAAAGCATATTGTCTGTCATATTCAATGAAATGTGCATGAAAGAAGGATTGCTGCCTAAATACACAAATTTTAAATATATATATATATATATATTAGTTGAATTGACATGAGTTTGTGACCCTGGGTTTCACACCCTTGTGATCATCGGACAAACTTAGCTCTATCACTGATATTGAGTGCTTTCCAATAAGTACCGCGCATATTTTTTTTATATCTATTATATATAAAAATTACACACACACACACATAGAGGGAGAGTATATCAAATATCTGTAAAAGGACAATATGAATTCAATAGAGACAAAATAAAAGGAAAACTTATCTTAACCAACACATTTAATCCTCTGATAAAATCGTTGCATTTTTATCGCATAGGATGAAACACATCAGCTAAGTTTTCCTTTTGTTTTTATTCATAAACCAACTGGCTTCATTTTGATGGCATTTTATTTTTGTTTCTAAATAAAAAGTAAAAACCATGTTAGACTAATTTTTATTATTTTTCAATAATTCTTATTTTCTTAATTTTTATACAATTTCTTTTTTATTATATAAATAATTTTTATAATTTTGGTATGGAAAGCCAAAGAAATAATGATAATATGATATCAGTTTGATTTTTAAAAAATAAGAATTTTTGAAAATTATTTTTAGAATGTTTTTTTTTATTTTTTAGGATTGATTATTTTTTCACCTCCCCACATACTTTTTATTAATTAGCCTCATATTCTAAATCTGTCTGTCTTTAGAATTGTAAGGGCATACAACTGAAATTTATTTCGGACGTCTGAGACTGAGTTGCAAAAAATCATTTATTCAAGTTTGACTACCGTTTACCGGGCACGCTCCGGGAAAATGGTAGTGAGCGATTTGCCGTCCGCTTTGTTTTATTATTATTTTATACGAAACAATTGAATTAATTTTCGTAAGCAACAATGGCAGAATTAATACCATATTCTAATTAAAAAAAAAACAACAAAAAAAAACAAAAAAAAAAAAACGAAATCCGCGAGAAGAAAATTTAATTCAATTCTTTCGTTTAAAAAGAAAAAAAAAAGTTACTTAGCAAATGTGGGCAATAATTCGCAAAGCGTGCTCGGTAAACGTAGTAGAGCCTTCTCCTTCATGCTTACATTTCCCCCCCGTAATTAAAAAGTTATAATTTCAATAAATAAATAAATGAATGTACGGATATATTTCATTTTTAATTTATACGGGAGGATACTTTCGAAAAATTCAATATGAGAAGCTAAAACAAAAACATCTTTGTTTTCATTTATATATGAAATCTGCTATTTCTTTTTTCAAGGAAAATATTTAATTTGCCGCGTGTTGTAATTTTGGACAATACGTTTTGTTTTGGTTTTGGATGAATGACATTTCAAATCGGAAACCTAAAGGGCTCACAGAATATGAAGCATGATAAAAAATGTATTTTTAAGGGAGGTAATTCAGTGTTCCTCATGCAGAAAGCATTTGAAGCGGTAAACTTACAGGACAAAACAAAGGTGGTGATTTCATTTTTATATTTTATATTTTGATTTTAACACTTGAATTTTTATTCGGATAGAAACTTATTAAAATAAAATACCAAATAAAATAAAATTTCACTCACCAGAACGTAATGATTGGTGTTTGCGTGTATCTTTGGACACAGGGAAAATAAAATCAGTCATTGTATTAACAGTTTTTCGAAGCGTGGACTCCATCACAAAATGTTTTCAAACAGTTGAATTAATTTAGCTTCAAATATTTCGTTTAACTTTTAGAGATTGTATAGAACTTGCCTAAATTGGAAAAAAAAATATCCATATGGAAAATTTGTCAATTCATTGTTCAAGTCTGTAAGCAAACTTCTAAAAACTTTTACACCTCTTTGAAAACAAAACTGTTGCTATAGAATTTGTGTAAACAAACATCTTTTCGTATTTTTATGAAGCAAAATATAAGCCTGTCTATTGACTTAGAATAACCTAGTATCTTTATTGCATATAAAATAATGCATCTAATTATTGAGCGACTGATATAATCTGAAGCTTAATACGAAAATAACAAAATTCCAAGATATTTTTAAAACTCGGTTGGCCATTAGGGGAAGTAAATCGATAGCATGATAATAAGATAAAAAAAAAGAAAATATATGAAGTAAAAGAGTACAGAGAAACCTCTCGTCTACCCCACTCCAACAACGGACAAAATCTGCAGGCAAAAAAACTTCCAAATCATCAGTGATGTATTTCAAAATTTGCGGGTTTAGCAGAACGATCTCGTATTAGTTCTCAAAGTGACCGCTTGGGGGCGGTGGCGGGCCTTTTAATTGTAAACAAAGTACGAAACCTTAGCGCGTGCGTGAGAAAGTAGCTGTTAGAAATGTATTATTTTTGTTATTTTGATTAATATATTAATTGTTCTGCACTCATCATGGCATCGGATCAGAAAGGAAGCGTACAAACTACAAACCTAAGCACCAGGGACAAATTAGAGATTCTTAAGAAGTTATAGGATGGAGTTTCGGTATCGCAAAGGTATACGAGAAGCATGGTTCGTGTAGAAACAAACAGTGACATACACAAAGCTAAGTATAAACTCAGAAGTTATGCATTGAAATTTGATGTTGATCGTTGCAAAGATAGGAAAGGTGTTTTTCATAATCGTAAGCATAGCATAAATTCCTAAAAGTAATGGACTGAAAGAAGCAGCGTATAAGTGGTACGTTGAACACCGATCAGTGCACGTGAACCTTCGGGGGACGGAGCTTGGAATTTAATTTGTGAACCACGAATACAGTATTTTGCAAGTTCACATTCTAGCCTAATTTTCCACTCCTCACTCCAACCTTTTTTCTTACTTTCAAAACCGGCTCCCAAAGCCTTGATTCTTATATCAGAGATAAGAATATATTTTCTCACTAACGAGAGAGCTGGAAAATATAAAAAAAAAAAGGAATTCCACCACCATATTATTCTTTCCATGGTGCCATAAAGTCTGGTGGAAACCTCACAGCTTGTTCACTCCAACCATTTTCCTTGTTTTCAAAACCGGCTCCCAACGCCTTGATTCTTATCAGAGATAAGAATATATTTTCTAACCAATGAAGAGGCCAGGAAATTTGTATAACAATTTTGAAGGGAAAAGTCCCCGATTCTTCAGAGCCTCCCAAATCTCCATAAATTTGGAGAATATTCTTCTTCACCTATTTAGCAGTGAGAATTCGACCATCGCTTGTGAGGTCACTGATAGAGAACACCGGTCAACTTCGGAACCACTTTCAACAAAGAAGAATTACCTACTAAAGGGCTGTTGAGAATGAATGTCTGCCCACTATTAAAGACCAGTTGAAAGCTGCCTCCTTTCACCTACAAAACTTGTCATCAGCCTATGAACTCACTCAGCTGCAGAATTCCTGAAAACTGAGTGTTTCTAACCCATAACAAAATTCTACTTGCTTAAAGAATTTTTAGGTACCCAGAGAAATATTTTGAGCAAACCTTTTTTTTTGTTGTTATAAACATTTTCTCTTCCTTTAAAGTTTAAGGACTTTTACTTCTCCCTTTCTTTCTCTCCTAATTGTGTTTATCCCCTTTACCCCTTTTTTTTGTACATGTAAATAAACACTTTCTTCTTTTATTGTTACACAAGCAGGAGTTTTGAGTCTTTCTTTATTCGTCTGCCTGAAAGAGAGAGTTTGTCTGCTCTAATCTTGCTGTTTTTATTCAATTTTTGTCCTAATTTTTTTAACTTGAACCCTTTCATGTGGGAAAGCCGGGACAAATTTCCTGCAACGGAGACTGCTGATGCCGCTAACAAATTAGCACGCAATCTAGGAATTAATTCAATTAGCACGCAATCTAGGAATTAATTCAATTAGCACGCAATCTAGGAATTAATTCATTTAAAGCTAATGATGGTTGGCTATGGAGATTTTTGCGCATATCAAAACCATGTGGAGCATTGGTGTAAAAAGCAAAATTTAAATAATCAAACCTTTACAATGAAAAATTTCTGTGATACAGATGCCATTCATCACTTCATTCAGCGATTGAATTCTATTCAATCTTAACCTAAGAAAAAGTGCAAACACAATTTTCTTCACCGCATGCAACATTTCATGTCATTGCCTACATTATTTCAATCTAGCTACCAAGCTGTTAACAAGTTTTCTGTGCTGAAGAGATTAAGTGTGAAATATTCCTAGGATGATTTACTGTCCTGAATTACATCTACGTGATGCAACTTTATCATAAAAATTTGCTGACGATATTTACTAAATATTACTTAGTTATCACTAATATGCAAATTTTTTCAACTTCGCCACAGTGCTACCACTACAAGATAAATCCACATGCACTCTATGCTACTCTAGTACACATCTCAACTTACTGAATTACGCGGAGCATTGGAATAAAGTAAGCATTTAAACACAACAGTGTCAGCCAGCAGCAATTCACCCTGAAGACACGTATACACTTCATCAACACATAATTCTTCCAGAGTGTACAAATACATTTATTCCAAATATAATTTCAACACCTAGAGAATGATAATGCACATACTTTTGGTGACTTTCACCTGATAACATTTCAGGAATCACATCTTCAACTTTCACAAGCGTCTACCATTAGACACTTCCTCTATTCAGATCACAACTTATTACATATTGAAAGTTTTCATTTCTGCAACTTCCCATCTGGGGGGAGTATTTTAGTATCCTACCTTCAATTTAAAAATATTTTATTTGCGATCTAACTAATTCCATTGGTTAAAAAAGATTCCAAAACATTTCCTATGTAACAGCACTGTGATCAACAAAATCTGTGCAAAAACTGGATCACAGAGTTAAAATCCTACCTTACTATTTCTCTGTCTCCTCATTGGTCAATTAATCCTAATATCATATTCTTGTAGCATATGTACCAAATATAGCGTTAGGTCAATTCACTAAATGTAGCAGGAACACCAAATATATAGGTACTACTACTATTTATATTAATGATTCTTCCACATACAGGATTCAAGAAACAATAACAACTCCAATTTGTTAACCAACAAATATATATTGAATAAAATACAACAACAAGCATGAAATAATTTTGTATTCACAATGTAGATTAAAAAGAAGGAAGTTCTTTCCCTTTGACTGTAGATTGATTGTAATCAACTGTTTGAAGAAAGTTCTCTTATGAGATAAATGTTTCGAAATAATTGTTAGAGCAAAGTTTGCATGTGAAGAATGAATAACACCAAGAATACAATTGATTGAAATGTGTTGTGAATAAACTGGTTTGAATCAACAAAGTTCTGGTTGATTGTGCTTGGCGAAAGTTATAGAGAGAAAATGTAAGTTTGTAGTTACAAAATTCTGGGTCTGTGCGTGCGTTAGAGTGTGATGAGTAAGATCGTGGATTTGTGTTGACGGCTGGGATCTTACTGGTGACTTGCGAAAAGTTGCCCTATTTAAGGAAAAGAGGTAGGCTTCTACAGAACCAGCAAGATAATATTCAAAAATGTTTAAAACAAAGGTAAGAGAGTTTATTGTTCATAGAATGGATGTAGGGTTGCATACATTCTAAAGTAAACAAAGAAAGTTTGTAATACTTAGCTTTTTTGGATTGTTGAAATAAAGTTTTTTGAAGTTCTTGGTTAAGGCCAATAATATATAATTAGGGAGTAATTTGACAATGGTGAAAAGCTGAATACTGTGCATGTGAACAGAAATTAAACTTTTCACATGACTTCAGACACTCTTCTCATGTTGATTTAATTTTTTTCCTTATTCTATTTCACATAGTCTTGCTATTTTATTTTCTTTGTTTTTCTAAGCTCAATGGCTAATTCCTATGAAAACAAGGTTTTCATTGATCTAAAGAAAATTTCATATAGGCTTGTGAATTTATTTCCATCAGCTTGCCTGAATTTGAAGAGAGTGGGTAAAGGTAGTTATTATTATTTTGTACTCACTACAGATGCAAACCTAATCAAGTGGGAAATTAATGATTCAGTGTCAAAAATGTGAATGATGAATGCATATTCATATGCAAGTAGACTTGGGAAAGAACTTTCATTTCTTTCAACTTAAAAAATAAGAAATTTGGCTCGCATATTTCAGCCAGAGAACTGCCTGCCTAAAAGATTGGATAGCTGTAAGATTTGGCACTATTTTAACAAAGTGTATATAAAGGAAAGCAGAATCATCTTCAGAGTCCTTTTTTCAGCCTATGCTATTAGAAGCCATGTCAGTCATTTTTCTTTGATACATTTTCAAATATCCAACATTTTTTCTCTTATACACAGAACTACAGAAATATTATACTGTGGGGTCGCTCATATCATAGCAGCAGAAATAGCCTTGTGTTCACAGGAAATAAAAATATACTTCACATGAATGAAACATACACAGAGACAACAGTGAAGGCATGTTAAATTGTACATTAATATCATACAATTTATTTATCTTGTGTACTGGTGTGTGTATTTCTGGTTACAAGTGTTTTAAAGATTGCATGTAATAAAAGGAAGACTTTACAAGCAATGTTCTGAAGAGAGAAGTTGGGAGGCGTGTTGACCGTCTGCCAATCAGTAGTAAAGAGGTTGAATTCAACATCTTTTGGTGGGATATCCATTTTTTGTTGCATACTGTGAGGATTTTTATTATTTTTATTTTATACAAAGTTTTAATGTTACTTGTTTCATTTTATTTTATTCATAATAT